GGGGAGAGCGGTCCTGTCTGTCAGTTTGCTTGCTCGCTTGCTTGCTCGCTTGCTTGCCTGTCTGCCTGTACCTGCCTGCCCGCATACCCGTCCGCCACCCGACTGCCTGCCTACCTGTCTACCTGTCCGTCTATCGACCCTTCCAATCTTTCTCTCGAACCTCGCGATCCCGAGTATCCCGACGTTCTTCGACGCCAGGAAGCGTGCTGCTCTCAAAGACTGGCAAAACCGTCGGCAACCACTACCGGTGATACCGTGCGAGTGGTATCGGATCTCGCAAGGACGTGACTCGTTCGCGGACAGACAAATACGCGGTTATTCGCTCGGAAACGCGGCCGATAATCAGCCAGGATGCAGGTGGCAACGCTATTTAGGGAGAGCGCCACCCTCTTGGGTGCCTCTAGCCTGGATCCCCCGCAGACACATCATCACCAGGCTATGCACCCGCAACAACAACAGCAACAACAGCAGCAGCAGCAACTTCAACAACATCCTGCCGACCTGCATTTGGCTCATCACATGCAGCACCACTACAAACTGTAAGTTTCCTATATACGCGAAACCTTTCGCTGTCTTTACTTTTGTTACGCTCGCCTACCGTTTTAACCGCGAAACGTATCGACCACGCGTCTGGAAGGCTCTCGCACCGATCTCCGTTGAGAATCGGAGGGCGAATCCGCGTTCCGACGGTGACGACACAGCGACACAGACCAGCGTTCCCCGTTTCCACGTGAAATTTCACTTTTTGTCTTCGGAGTGACGCGTATCGCGATCGTCCGTTGTCACGGAGCAACGATAGCGCGAGCAAAAGCGCTACAGAAGCGAACAAGTCGAAAGATCCACCACGGTCGCCGTCGGATCGCCAACGAGAAGTTCGAGTTGGAACCGAGACGATGGAAGGATCGTGACTCGAAAATCTCCGATTCCTTGACGACGACTTGGTCTCTGTCGCACCGTGCGAATCCTTCAATTTCGTCACAGCCTTTCCCACGAACGCGTTATCGCGTTGTCGTCGATAGGAGCGTCTCCTCTCTCTCTCTCCGTCCCTGTCTCTCCGTCTCATGGCCGCGGTTCCACCCTTGGTTCCCGACCTCTCAGGCTTTTTATGAATTTCGTCACGCGCCACGAAGGGACAGGGTAGCATTTGTATTCGTTGCGCAAGGTCCGGTCGTGCCCTCGTTCCTTAAACCGTACAATTTGTTTGAGGTATCTCGTCGTTGAAGTTCCCACCACGGTCTGCGTACCGTGATCGATGTCGCGACGATAACCGAGTGGAAGGCAACGCGCGAGTCGAGCGAGCGTTTTCCTCGATCGGAGAAAAAAAAAAAAAAAAAAGAAGAAAAAGGAAAAGAAAAAAAGAAAAGGAAAAAAGACGAAACGCGTAGCTAAATCCGTCGGTGATCGCATCGTGTGAACATAGTCGCCGATAGCCGTGCGGTTTCTTTTTTCCTTGCGAGGAAGAAGTTTCTTGCAGCGGCTGTGTCCGGCCCGGAAACGGACACCGATAAACGCGTTTGATGCGGCTTCTGGAGAATCAAACCGAATCGAATCGAACAGGAGCGAAGCGAAACCGCGAGAAGTTTGGACCAGACGCGAGGCCGCCAATAGGTCAAGGCTACTAGATTCTCTGCTTCGACCGGTATCTGCTATCTCTAGCCGTTTCCCGGTAAATTCCTCGCCAACTTTCCTCGCCTCTCCATCGCGCTATTCTTCGATACGATCGCGAGTCGCCGATATCCATTTGATCCCTTCGCTTCGTCCGATGCACGAAGACGCGCGTTGCCTCGAACGAAACGTCGTTCGCCGTTCGGAAGATGACGCGTGAAACGACGCGCGAGTTCGTTTAACGAAACCCATCGAGCACCGAATTCTCTGGCAAGCAGCGTGTTTATGAATTTTGATGCTTTTAGAAACAAAACTCTGAGAGTTTGTAGATGCGTAAAAACTTTGTAGATGCGAGACTTTTAGCGATACGCGTGTTTTTTATTATTGCATCGAGTTTATGATAAACGACCAATCGGATCTGCATTCCTTTCGAGTGCCTTCCAAGCGACGAACGGTATAGTATCGAACGCTACTACGCGCAGTGGAAAACAGGACTAGGAACGACGAGGCAGAGGTAAAAGGAATATTCCGTTTGCTTCGCTCACGCAAATACAATCGCGTATCAGTTAACGATTAAGTGGCGAATTTTTTTTGTCGAATTCCTATTTTCTCGAACCTTTCCAAAGAGATAATCCAAAGCTAAGTAAAGCGACTTCCTCTATAAGTTTCATAGAGGACACTTTGCTTCCGGTCTGTATCCGTATGTTTTTTTTTTTCGATACGTTTCTAGTCCTGCTGTTTTTTTCCACTCTGTCGAGCTACATGCGATCCGATATCAACGGATATTATTAAGATACGGATAATTTCCAAATACCCGTGTGGTGTAAGTATCGGATAGAAATTCGATAAAGAAGCGAGAAGAAGAGCAGGATTTCTCCCGTAAACGTAAATCAACCGATAACCGCAATCTACTAATAGCGTCCATACTACAGCGGAAAACGCGTGTGAGATCAAAGTCCGTGTGTCTAACCCGGCAGAGTCGATCGGACTTGCACTGGTTGCTGCGAGCTGCGCGTAACGTAGATCTGGTAGATTATCGTTGTTCGTATCTACGGAGAATCGAAGGGAAGGAACGACGAGGAAATTGCGAGTCGGTGGTGCGAACGCGCGATCGCGGTCGTGGTCGCGGTCGCGGTCTCGGCACGGCAACAATCGAAAGATACGAAGGTAAACGAAGCCACGTGGCCGAAGGACGTGTTTTGGCGTGGATAACGCGAGAAAGATATGGTAAACGATTTCATCGCTGCCACCTACGCTCCTCGGACGCGAGCAACAAGAGTAGAGAGAACGCGAACGCGGTCACGTGTCGCGGATAAATCGTGTTTCACCGATAAAAATCGACCTTATCGATAAGATCGAGCCTCCTTCTCGGATCAGTAGTCTGCCTTCTCTTTCTTCGTTGTCCGCTCACTTCCTTCGACTCGCTGCCGGTCGCTCTCGTCCAAGTTATTCATGTATTCCATAAGTTCGGAATACATGAATGGCCTACGAGAGCCAGGTATCCGAGAATCGGCTTCGACAAAGCCGTATTCTTTGCTACGGTAATTTAACACCGTTTAACGTTTCTCTTAGAAAAAAAGCGAAGCGTCCTCCTCCCCCGAGTGTAACGAACGATTGGAACGTGCCAACCAAGGACGAACTTTACACGGACACGTTCGGTCAAAGCTTGCTCGTGCACCGCGTCCAGGGTAGCACCGCGATAAAGATACGCGACCAAGGTTGTCGCATTCACGCGCGATCGGAGGTTCGAAGAGAACGAATAAGGCTGGAACCGTGAACGACGAACAGGAGACGGTCGACGCGTTCTATGTAAATAGCGTAAATACGTGACGCGTGACGAGTCAGAGTTTAAAGTTCTACGGAGAGTTTGACCACTTTGGACTTGGCGTCGCAACTTCGATGACTGTACAACGTCGCTAACTGAGTCTTGCCGATCCTCGATTCGTTGTTATCGGCGTTGGACTAGCGGAGCTGTTAGTCGGATCCTTTCGCGTATTCTTTCGATTAGTTGTGCATTTTGATTTTGGAATTGGTCGGAACGTCCGCTGTTACAGCTCGCGCGGAACCTAGCGTCGCAGCCCAGTCTTGGCTAACTCGATCGCTAGCATCGAGGCTGGCGCAATCACGGCAATTATTCTTCGACGGACTAGGATTCTAATTACCTGGGAGCGTTATTACACGAACGACGCAGCAGTCGCGATCGACGCGGCTGATTGTCGCGCGCGTCTGTCGAGAATTCGCGATTTCGGGAAATCGCGATGGAATGGCGAGTACGTCTCGTTCACGGCCGAGTCTCGGATATTCGCGGCACGTAGTCGAAACGCGGAAAAACACTCGGCATGCGTTTTGAAAGAGGAGGAGAGCGTGGCGGCCGATCGGTTAGATCGTTTCCCGCCTAGTGGACCAGAATAAAAGGACAAGAGGAGGAAGAGGAAAGGGGGTAAAAAAGGAACGTAAGGACGAGACGTGCATGACTTTTAGAGTTAACGCGCGTAAATCGCATTCCGAGCGACGCGAAACCCTAACCCCGTGTCTCGACTGGTTCTTCTCTGCTTCCTCGCGCGTCCGTTGCTCCTTTTTTTCTTTTCTTTTTTCTTCCTCGCCTCGCGCTTCTTCTGTTCGTTCTTCTTCCTTCGAGTATGCTCGGTTCGTCCGCGTTACCTCTCCGGCTCCGTCGTCTCTTCCTTCCCTTCGCGCCGATCATTTTACTCTCCACTCCTTCGCGCCTTTACACTCTGTCCGTTCTTTCTTTTCTTCTCCGTACGTGTACGCGTTCGGCCGTTCCTCTCTCTCTCCCTCCCTCTTCCTTGTTCCGTCACTCTTCTCCTTTCTCTCGCGTCTCGCACACGGTTATCTCCCTCGCGTTTTTATTTTAGCCCGAAGCAA